TTGATTTGTTTCCTTAATGAATTGGAACTAGTTTTTAACCAGCCTGAGTTCACGAGGGCTGGTGTTAAGTCAAAGACAAAAACAAGTTTAAATTTATTATCTGAGTGGTATTTTTACAGTGTGTTTTTCTTGTTAACCAAACATCTCATACCTGTGTTTAAAATGAGTGTCATCTCAATTTTTTATCTGTTGTGGCTACAGCCAGCTTTGAACATTGTTAAACTGGGCCCAGGATTAGCTGAAGTGAAGAGTGTGGATCACAATACTTTTATTATCATCACAAGCAAGAAGGAATACAGGTATGGTGAAAAATGAAACTCTTTCGATCCAACAAAAATGTAAAAGTATCTGTAGCTGACTCAACATGGTCAACTGAGAGGCCAGTGAAATAATATCAGGAATCGATGATTTGTCCACTGTTTGTTTTGTTGCTAAAACTATGTGTTAATTGTTTGGCAGTAAACAGAAGTAAGGTTGTTAGGTGCACCCTGAAATAAAATAGGGATGACAGCAACACACTCTGCAAAGTGACAACAGTAAGGAAGTGGCAGCAATGCACTCTGCAAAGTGGCTGCAGTAAGTGGGTAGCAGTAATGCATCCTTCAAGTAAAGGATGAGCTAACATGCACTAAGCAGTTCGGTGAAACGTAGTGATTACATGCCACACCTGGCTAGTGACTAATGCTATCGTAATGATGAGGTCAGGGTCCTACTCAGCTTGCTCCATGTACATGCACTGCTATATAGCAGGTGTTTAATGGTCAAGTTTGGGGTTTATTTTCTAGTAAATTCCCATGGATATAAGGTTCTCCTTAGCAACACCTCCATTTATCAATGGTGATCTAAATTTCCTGGCCATCAAAGTAGCTTCAAGTGTCTTCAAAGTACAGTGTGGCTTATTACTGTTGAGTTGTCATGCAGCCTTAATGACACTTCACTTGGTGGATTTCTTTTCAGTTTCCGTGTCATAAATCTGAACAATGCTGGAGATAATGCAGTAGAAAGAGAACGAGATGCATGGATTGAGGTTCCTTTTAATGCAGTTTATTTTGCTTTAAACAGTGTAGCTCAGGGACATATCTATAGATATCCACCTGAAGGAAGGTCATTAACCAGCTGGTAAAACTGGCTAATGCATATTAATGTGGGCATTTGAAATTGTTCCTTTAAATAGGTTTCCTCACTAATAGATAATAATTAAATGCCATTTGTGCTAAGTAATATAGCTCTTAAGTGGGTATGGTTTACCTTAGATAGGCCCAGTAAAAAAGACCCTTAGGTTTGGATAGCTCCCCTGTAGATGATCCCATATTTAGACAACCTCTCTCTGTAGATATTCCTGGAATTGAAAAGTTCTTGGTAAATCTTTCCCTTGTTTCAATATTTCTAAATCAAGTCCCTCAGAAGATCATCCCTTGTAGTCTCCCATAGGCAGTTCCCCTAAACAAAACTCTGTTAGATACCACCTGTAGATTGTCCTCCCCATAGATAAACCCCCACTGATATTACACCCCATAGATTATCCCCCACAATTATGGTGTAATCTATGAGTGTAACAATAGTTGTTACACTCATAGATTATCCCCCATGATTGTTACGCCACATAAATATTCTTCCATACTTGTTACACCCCATAGATTTTCCCCCATAGATATTCCCTCATAATTGTCACACCCTATAGATATTCCCCCATAATTGTTACTCACCATAGATAGTCCCCCATAATTTATTGTTACACCCATAGATAGCCCCCCAAAATAGGGAATTCTGCAAACTTGGAACGAACGTGTTATGTTAAACATCACACTCTCTTTTGGTTTTAACCCTTAAAACTTTTTCCAGGCTATAGCTGCAGCTTCCCAAGTTAATTTTCGTCATTCAAGAGCATCATCAATTATTCCTGATGAAACAGGTACTACTTATTTTAGACTGAAATTATTCTTTGTGTTATTTAAATTTAAAGTGATGTAATGAAATGACTCTTCAGTTTGAATGGCTATCATGAATAATCTTAATTTGATTATGTTGCAGCCATCAAATCCACAGTGGCAGAGCAAGAAAAATTTCTTAAGGAAGTTGTTAGAACTCTTCAAAGGGTACGTTGTATATATGTAATGAGTATTGATGGATCACAAATTTCTCTGATTTTCCAATACAATAAGAATGTGAGAACACTTAGTAAAAGTGGTTGCATATTTTTGTTTTCTGTTTAGGAGTTGGAGCAACTTGCGTCTGTTCTGTCAGTGGTTAATGCACCTATTCAAGTTACTGTTCAGGTGAATTAGAATTGTATTGATTTTAGAGAGTGGAGTGACTGACAGGTTAATGTCAAGTTTTATCATTTCATCACATGTGAAAGCAAGTCAATGATTCACATCTTAAGATAGCTTTTGGCTATAGTATGAGAAGAAGAAGTTCATCATCAGATACTAAGTTTGTAATAATGTTCATTTTAACTAGAGGTCACCCGGTACATACAGGCTGTAAGAAAACCAGAACGTCCTGGTCCTGGTTTAATGGTGCACATGCATTCAAGTGCCATGATGATTTCTGAACATGTGTGGAGAGAGTAACCACTGTCACAGATGAATACTGGCTTACCTTCCAATTTCTACCAGAGGTCATGATTCCTGGTGCTAACAGAAAGGATTATGGCCTCTGGGAATTAGAATGACATAGTCCTTGTCTACTTAACCTGTACCCTAAAAAACAAATTTGATTTGTTCTTCTGTTCATTTTAGGTCAAAAAGGTTAAGGATGTGGTGCGAAATCTGGATTCACAAGTCAAAACTGGAGTGCTCTCTTGGACAATGTGAGTACCTTTTTGAAACAACAACAACAACAA